TGATATTGAACTTATGCATTTTTATTTTAAAAATATTAATTATTTCATTATAATCCTCTTTATTAAATTACTGCTCATTCAGAGATGTGGAAGTAGCATTATGGATCCTTAGGACTAGCTATGAACTAACCCAGTATAGGAATCCTCCATTTCAAAATTCCCACTAAATTGACTTCTAATTTCTGTCTTGCGTGACAGGCTGGCCAGTTGGTCAACTGGTGGTTCATTCTGGTTTGTTTAGCTATTGGTATTTTTTATTTTTTTTAATTAAGCCAAATTACTTTTATGTTACTATGTAAACTCTATTCCCAAGTACAGTCATTTGGATTCTTCGAGTCATCTAATGTGCCCCTAATATCTTGTCTTTTTCTGGCTTGGTACCTTGAGTCCCTGATCAGTAGACATTATTTTCTTCAATTGCTTCCCTGTCAATAAGCCAATTCTTACAACATCTGCTTTTCCTCTTACAAAATCAGTCCACAGTGGACAGAGTAAGTGACAGGTCTGAGTAGAGGTTTGGAATTGGATACTTTGCATTTATTGGTATATTCTGGCTCGTAGCATTGTTTTCACTTGGCAGTTTTCATCGTTTTCACTACTGCCTCACTTCACAGCAAGCATTTGCTCAATTAAATCATAGACTCTTTCATGAAGAAGCTTCGTTAATTTTACATTTGACTTTATGGAATTAGTGTAGGACTTTATTTACATACTTGCTAAATTCAAACTTATTTGGGACCATTCGACTTGGTATTTGAAAAGACAATTGTTCTCATTTTGACTACTGATTTTGGCATGTAATATACTCGCTATGCTTCCTAACTTTTTGTCATTCAGATATTAAATGTGCTTGAATATTTTGGCTTATTACATGGAAAATAAAAAGACATTATTTAATCTAAAGGGTCTCTGGGACGCCTGGGTGGCTCAGTGGTTGAGAGTCTGCCTTCGGCTCAGGTCGTGACCCCGAGGTTCTGGAATCGAGTCCCACATGGGGGTCCCTGCAGGGATCCTGCTTCTCCCTCTGCCTGTGTCTCTGCCTCTCTCTGTGTGTTTCTAATGAATAAAGGGTCTCAATTGTATTAGTTTCAAATCGATAGAGATAGGTGGTCTCCTTAATGGCAATTAAAACTGTACTCTGCATCCACTGTCACTAGTTGCAGTTTTAGAAATGCTGGATTAAGGAATTTGGGAAGATTTCACTGAGGAACTGATGCTTAGATCTGAAAGTTGAATACCTTTTTTTTAAAAAAAAATTATTTATTTATGATAGTCACAGAGAGAGAGAGAGGCAGAGACGCAGGCAGAGGGAGAAGCAGGCTCATGCACCGGGAGCCCGACGTGGGATTCGATCCCGAGTCTCCAGGATCGCGCCCTGGGCCAAAGGCAGGCACCAAACTGCTGTGCCACCCAGGGATCCCTGAAAGTTGAATACCTTTAAGTAGGCTAGGGTGGGAGGATAGGCAAGATATTCAATTAGAGGATACATTAATGATTTTGATTTTATATAAATTACAGTAGAAAGATTTTAAGATTTTTTAAAGCAAAGGATGAAAATATCCTATTGGTATTTGATCCAAAGCTTTGAAAATATTGTGGCTGCATTGTTTAGAATTAATGAAGGTGGTGAAAATGGATTTGCTGCAGCTAGATAAGACAAGGCTGGTGGTGCTGGCAGTAGAGGTGTAACTAAGCAGATAGATTGGAGGGCTGTTGCAAGGCTGACTCCACAGAGGATGAGGAAAAAGGACAGGGAAGAAAATTGACAAGATGCAACAGATTGCTGCTGGTGGTATTTTCTCAAAGCCTGGTCACTCTAAAAAAAAAAAAAAAACTGCATCGGCTTAGGAGGTACATATTATGAATTTCTTTCTTTCTTTTTTTTTTTTTTAAGATTTTATTTACTTATTCATGAGAGACCCAGAGAGAGAGACAGAGACACAGGCAGCAGGAGAAGCAGGCTCCATGCAGGAAGCCCGACATGGGACTCCATCCCCGGACCCCGGGGTCACGCCTTGAGCCGAAGGCAGACGCTCAACCCCTGAGCCACCTAGGCGTCCCATGAACTTATTTCAAATGTGTTTATTTTGAGATACTTTTGAGATGATGTATTTCAAGAACCATAAAAATATATGTACCATTTGACCAAGAAATCCCAAGTCCCTGGGAATGTAGCCTAGAAAAATAGTGCAAAATATGGGAAAGGTTGTATCTGAAAATGTCCATTGCAGTGTTTTTTATGAATAGGAAACATTGGAAGTAATGTTAGTGCTCAAAAATAGAGGAATAATTTAGCAAATTTTTGTCAGCTTACTAAATAGAATATTATTCAGCCAATTAAATGACTAAATAATAGTTTTTAAAACTCTTTAGGGACATGGAAAGAATTATATAATGCAAAATTATAAAAATAGTTAACATGCTTTGTACATAACAAAGCAGTAAAAGAAGTGAATATGAACTAAACTGCAAAAATATAAGAAATTGCTCAGTAGGGTATTAAAATTACAGGGTATTAAAATTATTTAAGTAACATGCTTAAATTGATTTTGAGTTTTAAAAAATATTGCAAATTTAAGGGGAAGTCTTATCTCTCATAATTATTTGTTTTTAATTAAGGAGTGAATTCTTTTTCCTGAGGCTAGAAATAGTTAAAACTTGCAAGTTTTTTCCCAAGATTTGTAAGACAGTCTTAAATAACTCGTATTATTTCTATTTTATACCTTTAGGATAGAGGCTGATCTCCTTGAGATTCAGTCATAGTTGTAAGAGTTTTCATGGTTAAAAAAAAGAAGCTTAGTTAATATTAGTTACGTTTAAATTAATTCTCTCAGTGTGTTTGTGCGGTATGGGACAGTGCCATAGATATGAAATTTTCATGAACTAAAAATCTGAGTTCTAGGAGTACTGCATAAATTTAATGGCAATTAATTGCATTATTTAGTTCTAAGAGCTGAGATAGTCATATGGATAGTTGGTATTTTTAAATTATAGAGACTCTGTCTTTGTGAACAAGAAAAGGAATTAACCATATCTTTGTGAGACTATTTAGTCATTTTAATATACTAAATGAGAATTTGAAATTATAATTTTGTTTTTAAAGTCACTAAATATTAATTTTCATTGCCATATTTCACCAATAAGTTTGTTAGCATCAGCAACATTTCTTCACTTTGTCCATTAACATAAAGTATATATTAGTATGGACCAGAGGACTCTTGAAAAATTATCATTTTGGGCACCTGGGTGGCTCAGTCGGGTAAGTGTCTGCCGTCAGCTCAGGTCATGATCCAGGATCCAGGGACCGAGCCCCACATCGGGCTCCCTGCTCTGTGGGGAGGCTGGTTCCCTCTGCCCCTCCTCCCATTCATGCTCTCTCTTGTGCTCACTCTCTCTCTCTCTCAAATAAATAAATAAATAAAATCTTTTTAAAGATTAAAAAAATAAAATTTATCATTTTGGAAAATGATTTATTTTCTACTTCTTAGAACAGATATATTTAATCTATTATATAATCATAAAAAAAGTTTTCCCAACTCTAAAGACAGTAGTCATTTACAAAATCATAAGTGAGGTAAGAATATATTTAAGAGTAAAGACATGAAGTTTTAATAAGCTATATGTAAGCAACTGATAGGACATAGCTCATTATGAAGGCATTGGCTGAGAACTGGCCATTTGTTTTAAGCAAGAACCTTTTGATAACTTGTTGCAAAATATAGTAAATTTAAATCTTTAAGAAATGTTTTCTGTATTTTAGGATAAAAATTATTTTCGATTAACGATACATTTTTACACAATTTACTAAAGAAAACATGTCAAATATAAAGATGTGCACAAATACCTAATTAGCTTTATTCAGAGTGGAGTTTTCTGAAATCAGTTCCTAGAGGTGCCTACATAATGTTATAAATCAAAAGTGCCATTAAAAAGTATCTATGTGGATTCCTCAAAATAACTGATCTTGAAGATTTTTTAAAAATTTTCCAAAAACAGCAATTCTGATGCAATCTCTAGATCCTGTGATTTTTGGAGCCATGAGATATGACAATAGTTGATGGGTTCATCTATTATTCGATATACTCTGAATATTTGATGGACGGTGGGCCAAGAGCTGCTGCTCTAGTTACAGGCATCTAACATCCAGCTGCCTGATGATTTCTGGGTTTGGATTATTGGGATGGGCTACTACTCTAGCTCGTTCTGAAGCTGCTAATGTCCCAAGACAATTGTTGAAGAAGAAAAGAAGAAGATCATGACAATGGTAATGAAGACACAATGAAATGCAGCTACTCACTCTGCACACTGCATTCTAGAATTATTGTTGATAAAAAATTATGAAAACCATATTAATGCATAAATTATTCTATGCATGGTTTGGAATTTACTTTCCTATCAATTTAAAAAAATTGCTTATTGATTGGTTAAATCAAGAAATTGGAGTTGATGCTTCCTTTCCTTCCAAAAAAAGGATGTAAATTTCAAGTAAAATTCAAAATATAAGCAAACTATATTAATGATGACCGCCTAAACAAGGAAAAGTAACCTAACCACACTATATTTAGATTATTAGATTTAATAATATATATAAAATCCTATTGCCATTATTCACACAAAACACCAGTTTCTGTACTATACCATGTATACTGACACTAAAATTGACCTAGAAGTTGAAATTTCAATTAAGAAGGCCTATAATGTTTGAGTTTCTAAAACAAATATATTTATATAATGATTTTGGCTCTCTTCTTACGACATGACTTCAGTCTTATGTGTCTACTAATTTTGTAAAGTTTGGCTTCAAATTTTCATCTACCTGTGCTCTATATATTTTACAAAGTCAAGATAAGATCAATGTATTTCACATTACTTCAATTTATTTTAAACATAAATCATCTATATTTCATATATATTATCAGCACATGACATAAACATGCGCATGGCACTGCATTCACCAGGGACAACTAGTAAATGAAAAAAAATATTTTACATGTACTTACTTGAAATAAAAGAATATGCCAAGCGAGATAAGCAGGGAAGCAATAGATAATCCATGTCCAATTATAGTCAAGTAGAACAAGTTCAGTGCAGTCTATAATTTGTGTGGACAAAAAAACAAGCTCATATCAATACTATAATCCTCCATGTGTATAAGCTTGAGTCAACAGAATAAATTATATTTTTAAAAATATGTGCTCTCATAGCCTTACCATTTCATTTAGCTTGTAGTAGATACTTGAACACATCTGGAATGAAGAGTGTCTATGCAAACTCATCAAGTGACATCAAAATTTATGAACTGTATATCCTTTTTATTTAAGCAATTAGAAGTCATATGATAGGAAGGAATATTTTTATTGATCTAGTTTGTCTAATATGTGAAACTAGCATTTTACGTTTTGAAGGATATTGACCGTTTTCACTCTATCACGTTGTGCACATTAAATCAAATGCTATGTAATTATTTTTGCATGTTTCCTTTAGAGAAGGCTTTCTTTCCTACTGAGTTTTTCTTTTTCCTCTGACAAATTTGAAACCCCAAGACGAATCTCGATATAGTAATTATAGGAGCCTCTGATCTGAACATACAAATCTGTTTTTTTGCATGGTTTTGACTTTTCCTCTTTTATTTTTTTTTTATTTTTCTGTATTCCATCTATTTGTAGCTTATTATTTTATCATATTTTTATAATTCTCTTTAAACCCTTCTCTGAATAAGCAAAGAGTATGTGATTTATAATTATAATGGTAGCTGACAGCCAATGCTTACTATATGCCTGTAGTTTTCTCAGGTTTTTCCTTGTATTCAGTCAATCCCTATGACAACCTAGAGGGTGGGTTTATTGTTATCTTCATTTTATACACAAGGGCGGGGAGGCAGAGGGCCTAGCTTGCCCCAGGTCACGTAGGTGGTAAAGAGCGGGAAGAGGAAGTCAGATTGCAGGACTTGACTTCAGTCATTGACCACCTGCCTCTGTAGTCCCCCAAGTGCAAATACATACAGGCACTTTCTATCCAATCTTAACTGTTGTGACAAATCGTGACTAACCTTGACTTGCCTGATGGGGCTAAAGGAAGGAATGTGAGTGAGAATAACCCCGCAGCCAGTCGATAGGCAGCCTTCTGTTGAGGGACAGATGGAGCTGTTCAAACCCTGTTGGGCTCACCTTGTTTGCCTGAGCACAACTCCTGAACTTAGTTCTCAAAATTCCAACACCAAGGAAGTGTTCCTTTTTCTCATACTTTTAAAGTATGTTTTCTTTGGGAAATTTGAAACTCCAATACCAACACATTGACTTTTAAATACACTATTACCTAACAGGATTGCTTCCTCCATGTCACGACAAAATGAATAATTATTCTCCATTGTTTTTCTCAAAGTATATCATGAAAAGGCTTTACAATAGAATGGAACACAAGGTAAATTTTCTCCAATCCTCCATCAGCAACTAACTTTTTAAACAGACAATGTAAATTACATTTTAGTTTGTACTTATTCCCTACCTTCACTTTCTCGTGTGTATTAACGTTACACTGGGTATAATTTGTCCATGTTCTGTTGCTTTCTGGATGTCTAAACCAGTTTCCATCTTGGTCACAGATCTTTGTGACTTTTTCTTTAAAATTAAAAAGGAAAGAAGACACAGTAATTTAGTCAACTTAGGTTTATGTAATATCCAGCAGATTTCTATGTAAATTTCTGCTTTTACCTGATGGATCGAAGTCCTGAAAGTAATCAGGGCAGTGCTGCATGGACTCGGTTCCAGCTGCAACATCATTCCAGCATAACCAACCATCCCATGTTCTGTTGCAGTAAATGCCTGAAGGGAAGAGTAAGAAAACAGCAATTACTAGTCCCTCTAGTTATACGTGAAGACAAAGTCTTACTAGTGGGTCAATACTGACATGAAATACAGACCACCGACTGAAAATGAAGACCTCATATAAAATCTATAGCTATTTAAATTTTTCCCCAAGTAATTATTGGAATAACTGCTAAATTAAATTTAGAAATACCTATAAAAGTATATTTAGAAGTTCAGCTTTAATTCCAGTTCTCAATGGTAGCTATTTATTCAATAAATCAAGTGGTCTTTGATAGTTGTCCTTAACCGGAAAGGTAGTAGTTACTTAGTGTTCCTCCACTTAAAATCTTTTAAAATATGGGAAATTGGAAAATGTTTTATCTTAGAAACTGTGTTCTTAGGGCAAGGTGTTAGTATTTTCTGGAAAAAAAAAAAAATAAACCACTCCAGTGTTTCCTATTTCATTACATTGGCCCTCACAGATATTTCAACCCCTCTACCAAATTCTAGCTCTTACTTCCTTTCCTTTCCTTCTCAAATGGAGTAGAGTGTTTAACATTCTTATGATTTCCGTTTACCAGACTGAAGAGAAGGAACCTCTTATGTGAAAAAAAAATATATATATATATGGTTTTTTTAAAGGAATAGAGAAGTAAAATGACCAGTGTTCCAATGTTAGAAGTCTATAATCAAATAATTTCCATCTTGTCAGACAAAGCACTCATAAATAGAAGCCCGATTGTTGTCTGAAATGTTTGTTATTTTTAACAGATTTGTGCCGCAATCTCAGAATCAACCTAACTTTCATGGGAGTAGGGGAAAAAAATTCTATTGGCCTGAAAGTATAAATCATTCTAATTAAAAAAAGAACTCAGACCATGTCAGTTTTTTCTCCTGTGATTTTCAGGCACTCATTTAAATAGTCTGCCCTCATACATTACTAAATAAAATGCATTTTGTGGACTATCAGAGAAAAATTCCTGATAGAAAATATTTCAAATAAGTCCTTATCACTGGTCCAAAAGATTCTATTTAGTTAATGACAACCCTGGCAGTATGATAGAGCGCAAGGCCCAGAAGTTTCCACACCGTGTGGTATGGCATTTGAGTGAGACAGCAGTAGGTATTCCATTAAGAGCTTCTGTGGTCAAAAGATTGGGGAAGCACAACATTAAAATAAAGACAGTCCTTTATTGGAAGACTTTCTAGAGTATTTAAAATCACAAAGTGTGGTATGAAGCTCCAACAGGAAGATTGATTATGCAGTGATTCTAAAATTATTTTATCACAAAATTATCTCCTAAAGATAGTTCTACTAATCAATATATCTACATGACCTGGAAGGAATTAATTCAATAATTTTAAACTTATAACACTTAGATTTTAATGGAATAAAGCAAGAAGCCAGATCAATTAATACAGAATTTGTACACAACTCATGTACTTGATAATTTAACCCCTATTGACAGCATCAGATAGTTTGTCATTGTCAGATACACTTCCAAGATATCTTTAACTGAATAAATTTCTCATGATAAAAATGTCTAGTTAGATATATCTAAATATTTCTCCAAAGTTAAGCAAATTACATTGTTCAGTTAGACTCTTCATTAAGAAGAATTGTTCCTTAAAATTCTAAATGTCGCCCAATGTGGGACACTTTTTTCCCTCACAAGCAAGTTCATTTTGTCAGTTACAAATATTAATAATGTCTTACTTTTAGCATTTCATTTATATAAGAAACATTATATATCATCAAGTATTTTTCCAAAAATTTTAAGATTTTTGTTTCCACCGATAATTTAGCAATATCCAAAGTCTTTACGCTTTGCTTTGTTTTGTTGTGAGTTTTGCATTTTATATTTTGAAGATATACCCTGTCTTTAGGGTTGCCAGATAAAATACAGGGCCTCTTTTTGTGTTTGATTTTTTATTTTGTTTTTGTTAAATCTGGCAACTCTGATTGTGCTAGTCATCTTTGTATTGTCAGAATCAAGGCAGATATCTGGCATTTAGCAGGCCCTCAGTAATGTTACAAAAATGTCTAAGGAATATCTTAATTGAAACAGAATAACTTAGGCTCATTAGCATTGCTAACAAATGTATTATGCAGAGCATGTGTTACAAAAAAAAATTGTAATTTTATTATGCAGACTCCCATCCAACAGCTTGTGGAAAAAAAAAAATACAGATTACATAAACTGAAGATCAACAGCCACTGATTTAATTCAAGACACACATTTGATATTTCAAATATCTTTGTACCATAGAAAAAGTTACTAAAAATATTCCTGTTACACCTTTTATTAGATTTTTTTAAAAGGAGCCTGATAAATTATGACATAAAATATTCATACATAATTAAGAATGTGCACATACAGGAAAGCTAACAACTAACCCATTTTTATTAATGGGCCTAAGAAACTCATAAATGATGTAATGCAGTAGTTTTCTTTTAAAAATATATCAAATGCATTTAAACTTAAATAGTCCTGTTTACCTTCTGTTTGTTGAATAGGGTCTTGCATAATTTTTTGGTAACATTCGTATTGAGCTGTCATGATTTTATTTCTAGTGTAGACACCCAACTGAATTAAGTCATCAATGTTCTCCTCGGATTCTGCTACGCCGAGAATCTAAGGGATAAGACACACAAACAAAACCTTCAGAATTGGGAGACGATCAGAGCACAGTGATGTGCTATGTGGTCGCTTGGCTCTGGGAGGAGAGTCCCTGATTTGGAGTGTTTTCCAGTTTCCATGGTTTAAATATCCCCACTGCATCTAATTTCAAGTGACCCCAAGCAGCTGCCAGGGCAGCCCTGGCAAGGACAGTCTATAAGGGGCTCCCCGACGCCTGTGGGAGCTGGCTGTAGGACGAGCCTTCTGGAATACACAAGAGCGATATGCAGGAGCCACCTCTACTTTTCTCACCTGCTCTGTGAACAGGAGCAAGACATTGAGCCCCCTGAGCTGCTGCTTTCTTGTCGTAAAGTGGGATAAAATTATATCGAGGTAACAGGAGGGAAGCATCGGACACATGGCAAATATTCAAAATCATTGCCATATTTATCATCATATTTTGATAAAATATTGAGAATATTCATTTATGCTGTTGGTAAAGAGACTTTTCATCGTACACACATCAGTAAATGTTTTGGACAAGGTATATATTTATGATATTCCAGTTCAGTAGCACTGTTTTAGGCCTCACTTCTGTTTTAATGTCTTCATGACTTTTCGTTCCTGTTCTGTACCATGAAGCCCCCATATTAATTTTTTTAAGATTTTTTTTTAAAGATTTTATTTATTTATGAGAGACCCAGAGAGAGAGGCAGAGACACAGGCAGAGGGAGAAGCAGGCTCCATGCAGGGAGCCCAACACGGGACTCGATCCTGGGACCCCGGGGTCACGCCCTGGGCCCAAGGCAGATGCTCAACTGCTGAGCCCCCCAGGTGCCCCATGAAGCCCCCTTATTCCTGATTCTTGTTCTCTAGCCTGAATCTGTAGGTAATACATTCTAAATAGTAATATTCCCTCAGTGTATGGCACCCTCATTTTCACTATCACCTGCCCACCATTTAACATTTACTCTAATTCTTTGATTAGTTTTAATCTCCTAATAAAGATTGATGCAGCAGCTGTGCTGCACGAGCAATAAATGTAAATTTACAGCATCAGGAAAATTAATATTTTTCTCCTGTTTTCAGGAAGTTTGTAGAATTGCATAAAACCAGTATCATTTTTCGTCCTAAAAACTCAGATTTGCATACTGTCTGAATGAATTCAAGAAAAAATGGTCACAATCCTTAAATTACAATAATCAGATTGGTAATCTGATACGGAATTATCTGCCGGCGAGCAGAGTTGGCAGGTGCAGCTCTTTGGCACACTCGGGGAGGAAGCGAGCTGAAGAAACAGGAGTCTTGCTTCTTGAATTCTCATCTATTTACCTAAGATAACATCTGAGCAGTGCAGCGTCTGGATTGCCCGAGACCAGAGAATGTTTTCAAATACAAATGCTGACAGGAATGTAGTCTTGCTTTTTACTCCTCTAGTTTTTCTATATTTTTCTTGAGTGTCTTTGTTTGAATCTTTTTATGGGGATCGCTTGAAAACACCACAGGAAAATTATTTGCTGGCACAGAATTAAGTGGGATTACACCTCTCGGTTCCTAATACATGTAATGAGATAAGAGGACAGTCCCTCTTTTAACGTGGGACAGAGAAAAATGTGAACAAAATATTTCTGTAAATAAAGTTCTAGGATTAAGGAATATGATCCCTCCACTAGAGCCGTGGCCTCACATTCCCTGCAGACGCGGGCAGGGGCGTGCAGGAGTGTGCACGCTCACGGACACACCTGCCCCAAACCCAGCATCAGTGCCTGTCAGAAAAAGATGCTTAATACATGTTGGAAAGAATGGATAAGGAAATTAATTTAAAAACAGTGCCTGGTTTCAATTAATATAGACTCATCTATTGGCAGAGTGAGAGAAACCCCAGCAGGTTGCAGCCTGCTTTTTAAACAGATTTAATGCAGAATCAACAGTCTATGTACCATGTACAACGAAACCACAGAGCATTTCATTTTTATTCCAGTCGCTCTGATAATTACCTTCCTCTGATGTCTTTGACATTTTATCATTGACCGTCCTCACTCTGACATCCCACCCCCACCGCCACTGCCGATAGTGCCTCCTATCGAATTAAAGCCTGGAAGTGTGCACTGCAAGAGAATAAAGTATTGCTTTGTTGATTAAAAATGTGCTTATATTTATGCATCGAATAACTGCATGTTATTCTGTTGTTCGTAACCCTTCTTAATATTGGAATATTGGCATAGTGGAAGTTAAAACCAATAACCGTAAATAGGGAGTTGCAGGAATTTATGCTTACCATAAAAAAAGGCAAGATTAACAGGAAATGCAGGAAACACTTTTTCTCCATCTTCGAAGCCAAAAAGAAATATGCTATATAACATAAAACAAACTGCAAATGAAACAAAACAATATATAATTAATATTTGTGAAATAGACACAGATGGTAGGTACTCCACGGTAAATTTTTTTGAACTATGCAACAGTTTTGCTTGAAGAATTTGATTAATAGTTTTCTGTATTTCAAATGTTAAGAACATTATGGCTTAAAGTATTAAAGAACCTAAAGACATTCCAGTCTTACAAACAGGAAAGCTTCTTACATATGAATTTCTAATTATAAAACATCTTACTTTCCTTGCCTTTACCAAAATTGGAATAAAATGATTAAAGTATCAAAATAAAGAGTGTCACAAACAGAACATAAGAGCAAAAATTTTGAAAACGTATTTTACTATAAAGCTCACCTTTATTTTCTATCAATATTAATCTCATTTTTAACTTTCTGATTCTTCAATAATTTATGGGGGAAAATTGTTCTCAGGCCAATTTCTTGAGAATCAACAACCATATGTCATAAAAATGGCCCTTATAACTTGACAGAAATTCATCATTTAATCAGGAAATAAAAGATTCCCCAAGTCATCTATGTTATTAAAATGAGGTTACAGGAAGTGGACAATACCACATTAAGTATTTCTGTTAAATATTTCTAACGGTAGATATAATTCTGAGCTCATGAAAAGGGCTCTAAAGCAATACCCCTAACTTCTTAATTCTTAGAGACAAACACTGGTGGGATTGCTTACTCCCTGTAAGGCCCATGAGCAGCCTACTTTGACAGTATTTTTATGAGATAGAAATTATCATGATATAGTCATAATGTAATATTAAACTGAATGTATAAGAAGTATTTTTCAAGGCAAGGGAGATTTTCAAAATCCAGTTAATAGATATTTGCCAGATAACAATGAACTTAGATTTAATTTTATTAAGAAACTGGTCATGATTCTTAATATACGGCCAATGTTCGAGTAAGAATTACAAAAACCGTTCCCACATATTATACTTATTATCTGTATTATCACATGCAATGAGAGCACACGAATTTCTAGAACAGAGTCTGTGTCATTGCTTGCCCTCACCAATGACTCACCTAGACACAGCTTTTCCTTTTAACTGTAGCAATCTTCACGATAATGTTTGTCTTCTATCAGTTATGCTGAGTTTTTATTATTAGTTGATCTTGAAAAAAAATAACCAAAACTTCAGGAGGCATTGTATTAATTTTAGATATTAAAAACATTTTGTAGCAGAAGGAAAACAGTGAATTAAAGTTTTTGCAATTTAATAATTAATGAGTTGATATTTTAGTTTTTATTACATTTTACTATGAGAAAATCTAATTTTCCATTACTTACATACACAATTGTCTCCAGACTCAAATCACATTTTCCCTCGAATCATATTGGACATTGTCTTGAAGAATTTCTTAAATCCAAGGGTCATGACCTAAAATAATTGATTGATGTAATAATTTAATGTCATTTCAATGAGCCAACAAAATTTCCATGATTTCCATGAAAATTAAGATTTTCAAAGAAAATACCGCTATTATTATTAAAGTATTTTTATTAAGCTATTCCAATTTTTAAAAATCTCTTTGGCTTATAATATATTTGGGGTTTTTTACAAATATTTGTTGTTTTCCATTATATGGAGAAACTTACATTAATTTCCATTCATCTGCGATGGTTAAGATAGTGAAAATTTGAATTACACTACAGCTTTCCTTTGAATGACTTTCTTTAATGACTCCTTGGAATGTGTTATCCATTTCCCTTGCCGGTATGGTCTCTGGAAGCCAGAAATGACATCTGATTGATCCATGTATCTTTGGGGACTGGCAGTTAATTTACATTTGCTGTGTAAATGCATGAGGAAATGAATGAAAAAACTAAACCAATATGCTGCTTTAGGATTTTAAATTTACACTCAAGAAAAATAAGCATAACTATTAAAACTGCCATTTCTTCTATTGGAAGGCTCTTGATAGTTTTGAAATCTGTACTGACAATGGAAATCGGGAAATCAAGTTCTCATATCAGCATTTTTACTTTCTTAAAAAATAATGTCCTGAAAACTAGGTTTTTTAAGTTCTGTGGCTGTTTGGATATTGAATAAACAGTAGTTTACTGACATTCGAAGTCTTTATAAACGTTAAACCAAACTTAAAGCACTGGTAGTTCCCATTTCTGTGTGCTCACTATATGGAATCCAGAAGTCTACGAATAAGAATGAAAAGAAATATCATTCTATTTGGAAATCAAGTTTTTTTTTTTTAATGAAATAATGCTTTGACGATTTACACGAGTCGGAATTAAATTAACTATACTATATGCCTGGCACAAAAATTGGAGGGAAAAGTGCTTCACAAACACACTTGGGGTTTTGCCCAAACCCGATGTATTTGAAAAACATTCACCCGACACCAGCAGCTCTTTATGTTGCTTATCCAAAAGGCTTCAGAATCAGATGTCCAAAAAGTATGTCAGTGAGGCACCTCTTCGCGTTTACTAGATTATCCTGGCACCAACAATTTAAGAAGACTTCATTCATTTCAGACATTATTTACCAATGCAAACAATTCCGCTTTCATAGCCTTCTTCGTCACCCGATTCCGTAGTGACCTGGGAAGCATGTTATTAGTGACAGGGTCGTTTCCGGTGGTGTAGACTCGTAGAACTCCTCACCCAGGACCTGCTCCATGGCCCCTGGTCCTGTCAGGTGCAGCAGCACGTCTGGGTGGCAGTCTTTCCAACCCAGAGGGGCCTGTACTCTCCACGTGGCCTAACACTTCAGCCTCTGCACGGCAAAGGGTCTGTGGCCTTTCCTTGCCAGCAGACCGTGGTGAGTGGTGGTTAAGGAGCCATCGCCACTCTCATGGCAAGTTCTCGAGGTCGGTAACCAAGGCCCGTGCTGGGCATGTGGGTAACACCCCTGAGGATGGACCCGAAGGTCAGGTGGGGCCGAGGCTCCTGGCGGTGGATGCGAGGGCATGAAGGTCACCAGAGTATGTTGGGTTGTGCTCCTCAGCTTGCCTTCCTGGTTCTCTGCATGCTTCTAGTACGTTCACTGAGCAAGTCCTTCTCTCTTCCATGTTTGGCTTTTTCCAAATTTATCTTTGCTAAGATACGTTTGATGGTAACTGACCGAAGCTCTTCAGCAAATCATTGCAAATCTCAGGTCTTGTTAAATCCTCTACTGACAGCTGAGCTGCTGTGGCCTTGTGCGTACTGTGGTCCCAGTCAGCTCTACCGAGAGGTGAGGTACGCAACCAAGGGTCAAGAAAAATGACCAGATCCGCCAGTGGGCCTTTCCAAGTGTCCTCAGATTTGTTTAGGAGGAAAAGGACTTATCCAAAACCAAGAAAGCTCTCATTTAAACTCTTAAGTGAATGTGTGATCACAGCATCCTAATAGTAGGTACGGGCACTTTCTCTAACTGCCAACCTCACGGGTCCTATCAGCTCTGTTTTATTTTCACTTCTCAAAACCAAACAAACTGGAAGCTTTGGTTCTATAATGAGAAGCAAAATAATTTTCTTTACTATACACGTGGAATAAAAAAGTAGCTTATTTCCAAAGAGTGTTCATTCTTCTTGTCCAAAGAATCGCCAACATAAAGTAAAAATGACTTATTTCATCACAGTAAGAACTTTGAAGAATGTCGTAAAACCTCAAAGAACTTTTGAAATATAGTTTCCTAGTTACTCAGGACTTTTATGTGATCTCATTCGGGTTTCATTTCCTAAAATTACCATTGATCTGTACCACAAGACATTTTCATGGGCCTACATTTCCAAGTCCAAAACTTTGATTTATTTATTTTTTAAGATTTTATTTATTTATTCGTGAGAGACCCAGAAGGAAGCAGAGACGCAGGCAGAGGGAGAAGCAGGCTCCATGCGGGGAGCCCGATGTGGGACTGGATCCCAGGGCCCCGGGGTCACGCCCTGAGCCAAAGGCAGACGCTCCACCGCTGAGCCCCCCAGGCGTCCCTCAAGTCTAAAACTTTTAACCAATCTTTTCTTGCTTACTTCAGTGTAAAATCAGGTTTTATTCTACATAAGAAAGTTTTATTTATTTATTTTTATTTATTTATTTATTTATGATAGTCACAGAGAGAGAGAGAGAGAGAGAGAGAGAGAGGCAGAGACACAGGCAGAGGGAGAAGCAGGCTCCATGCACCGGGAGCCCGACGTGGGATTCGATCCCGGGTCTCCAGGATAGCGCCCTGGGCCAAAGGCAGGCGCCAAACCACTGCGCCACCCAGGGATCCCTACATAATAAAGTTTTAAATCAGGGTGACTTAATCAATACTAAGTTATCAGGACACAAAAGCCTAAATCCTGTAAATGCATAGCAGTGCCTTGCAAACCTGCTTTTCATTTTCTCAAAATCGTATCATTCTTAAATAGGCTTTTCATCAATGTGTTTTTCTCTTACCAATTATTATGTTTAGCTGAGTTGCCGAACCCGGATACTAAAAGGATATGTTCACTTCCAAGGTTAATTTTTTTATTGATTTATGATAGTCACAGAGAGAGAGAGAGAGAGAGAGGCAGAGACATAGGCAGAGGGAGAAGCGGGCTCCATGCACCGAGAGCCCGACGTGGGATTCGATCCCGGGTCTCCAGGATAGCGCCCTGGGCCAAAGGCAGGCGCCAAACCGCTGCGCCACCCAGGGAAGGTTAAGAAAAAAAATCCAACTTTTTAACTTCCATTCCTCCATTTCCAGAATATCTTGGATTTCTATGCCCCCCACGCCATGCCCTCTCCTTCTATCCATCCCGTCACTGGAAGGTGGGCGAGCAGAGGCATTTCCCGCACAGCCCTCGTTTACCATCAAGTGTCCTCAGCCTCGCGTGGGCACAGGGATGGGTCTCCTATTAGCCCACGCCTTTCCCTTAGGGCACATTCACTGGCGACATTTCTCAATCAAAATGGGGAATGGGCCGCCCCCCCAAGCCCAGGGCCCCGCGTGGATGGCAGATGGAAGCTCCTTTGGCCGAAGAAGGTGCCACTAACTCACCATATCCAAGTACCAGATCCTGGTTACCTTTTATTTTCCCTTCAGTGCTTATTTTTTTGGCAAAACCTGTCTTTCTGCTGGAATTATTTTAGCAAATTACTGTCTTTACTTCCAATAAAATCTTTAAGAAATAAATGCCAGTATAAGGTTTTAACTCCCCACCCCCATCTCGGTCTGGAATGTCCTTAACACTTTCAATCCATGAAGCAGTAAGAAAACTCAAAGACGAGGACTTCTTCCTAAGCATCTGATACTCACGTAAGAGACTCAAAGAGAAAGGCTTTAAAAACAAAACAAAACAACAAAACAAAACAAAACAAAACAAAAACCAATATCCCTTGTGGCTTCTGTGATTTTTTAGACGATTGAATGAATGGGAACCACCAAGTCGCTGATGTAGCATAAACCACTGTTCCTCAAACTGTGGATTCTCGCCTCACCTGCATCAGAATCACTCCCGGAACCTGCTGGATGCGTGAGAATGTCAAGGCCGCACCACAGACCCTCTGAATCAGAACCTTTGGGAGAACTGGGACTCTGCATTTTTGGTGAGACTTCAAGGAAATCCAGGCCTTTTAAATTTTGGGAAGCACAACGTAAATACAGCAGCCTCCTTGGACCGTGCTGAATCCTGGACCCGCTCACACGCCTCTGGCTCTTGGTCCTGCCAGACTAGGCTATTCTATTTTTTTTTTTTTTTTTAAGATTGGTTGATTGAGGGGATCGCTGGGTGGCTCAGCGGTTGAGCGCCTGCCTTCGGCCCAGGTTGTGATCCTGGAGACCTGGGATCGAGTCCCACATCTGGCTCCCTGCATGGAGCCTGCTTCTCCCTCTGCCTGGGTCTCTGCCTCTTTCTCTCTCTTTCTCTCTGTGTCTCTCATGAATAAGTAAATAAAATCTTAAAAAAAAAAAATTGGTTGATTGATTTGAGGGAGGGGAGGGAGAAGGAGAATCATCAAGCACACTCTCCACTGAGTGCAGAGCCTGACCCAGGGCCGGATCCCAGGACCCCAAGGCCATGACCTGAGCTGAAATCAGGAGTGGATCACTTGGTGGATGGAGCCACCCAGCTGCACCCCTGCAAGACTGTTTTAAAAGTAACTACGAAGGAGACTGGCGGGCTCAGTCTGAGGAGCATGTGACTTTTGATCTTGAAGTCGGGAGTCTGAGCCCCACATTGGAGGTAGACCTTACTCAAAAAATCTATCAGGTCTAAATCCAGCAAAACGGCCTGCCATGACCCCCTGCACAATGCACGTCACAGAGCTGCCAAAGTACTCAGATAACTATTTTTCCAACATAGCCTGTAATATTGTGATTCCTTTTTGTGTGTGTCTGTTTATGCCACTAGATGGAGAGCACAGTCAGAGTAGGACATGCATTTGCTCCGTCCCTGTAGCTCCAAACCCTAGGCGTCC